GAAACAATGCACCATTTGTAAAGTTGCAGAGTCTGAGTTTTCCTGCCATCAGCGGTCGTTTCTTCGAACTTATCTCCCAGATTAGAAACCTGTGTTGTTTCTAAAGCACTCTCAGCTTTTATTGTGAAATGATTGCCATTAACACTGATGACACAGTCTGATTGGCCACTACACCCATTTTTTGCAGAACTATTCTGACACCTAGCTCCTCCATGTATTCCTCAAGGCCAGTGCTGCTCATTGAGCACCATCTTCCTGCCAGCTGCTGGGCAGGAAGGATCTTCCTGCCAGCTGTGGGCACAGGAGGGCGTGTGGAGCGAGCAGTGCAGAGTCAGCTTGGTGGAGTGACTTTCTGAGACATTAAATGGAAAAACCTTGCAGATGATGGTCATATATATATATATATATATATATCTCACATTTGATTTGATGATTTGATGATCATAATAGAGATATATGGTTTTACTTGTATATATGTTTTATTTACACATCTATGCCAGATATATTTCTTAGTATGTGTGTCCAGAAAAAGGTTTGCACCATACCAATAATAATGATTGCTCTGGGCAGGGTGTAGAAAGGGGCACGACTGTAGCTCATGGTCAGGGGGAATTTTAACTGTAATGTTTCATTTTCTAGAAGAATTACTCATTCATAAACTTAAAATTCATTTTAAGAGCAAAATATTAATAATTGCTAGGATAGGCAAATTTGCTAGGTAATTTTACAAACTTTACAACTTTACAAACAGCGCATTGTTTCAAGGTCAAGAATGGAATTGGGGGCCTCCCCTGGTGGCGCAGCGGTTGAGTGCTTGGCTGCGAAGCTGCCCGCAGCCTCTACAGTGTGGTTTGATCCCCGACCACTGGCGAGGGTCCCACATGGCGCAACAGACCTCTCCTGCTGTGCCCGCTGCTCCCCTCAGCAGTGTATTTCATCACTCTGCCTGTTCTGTTCCCCACTCTGGCTCTGGTGAATTCTCTCACCCTCCTGTGCTTCTGACTGTACCCAGTGCTTGTATAAATAAATAAATAAATCTTAAAAAAAAAAAAAGAATGGGATGGGAAGGAAAGCACAATAAGAAGAAAACTTGAAGATGGGAAATTAGTGCTGGATGCATCATTAACATTGTCACCTGTACTCGGGTCTACGAAAAAGAGTAACAATTCCGTCATTGTCTTGGACAGGAATTAGTTGCAAGGATGAGCAAGCTCGGGTCAATGAGAAAATCTCCATTCCGTTTTTTTGTTTTTTTTTTCCCATTACTGTCTTCAATTACCTTTATCAAAAGTTCCCTTTCAAGTTTGTTAACAGACACAGTTCTATGGCCTTCTACAAATATCCTATCAGAAGCAGGCCACATAAAAGATGCTCATGCTTTGCAGAGGCACAAATGTGAAAAGGAAGATTGTCACCTGTAAGTGAAGTAGTGTTGGAATTGACATTAGCTCAACTGCCCTCGATTATTTGGATTTAATCATTGTGTAGCATTCTGATAGTTCTATCATGCTTTATGGTTTCCAGAGCACCTCATTTGAATCACACAGTTGTGTGCAATAGGGCTGCCTCTCTACACCCTTTCCATTACACACCCTTTCCATTTCTCAACTAGACAGTTGAGGCTCATAAAAGTTAAGTAACTTATCAAAGATTAAATTAGGAAAAAGGCAGAGTACTTGTATTTTTCTGGAGCTGAATGCTTTCTCTAATTGCTCCATTTTCAACAAATCCATCTCAAATTGGTAATGGAAGCTGTCAGTCCCTACATTTCATTTTCTTGCTGGTTGAGTTTACACTTTGGCAGCCCCTGTAACCTCTTTTTATGTGAAACTAGGTGATGGGCTCAGATACAGAAAACAACCTCAGAACAGAGCGCCTCCCAGTTAGCAGGAGGTGTGCTGCCAACAGCGCTTGGCCTCCCTCCCTGAACAGTTGCAAGGGATAAATGACACCGTGCTGGGCTGACTCCACAGCCCTGTGCTGCCTGCGGGTAGTTGGTAGAGTGTATCTATCTTTTCTCCCATCTAAGTCAGGGTTCTCAGGAAACTTACTCTTCATTCTCCCTCAGTAGCTAGCCTCTCAATGAATATGCATTTGATAAGTTCTTTCAGCCTCATAAAGTAGCCAGAGCAGTGTGGAGCAACACACTTTTTAAATTCAGACACTGCCCATGAGAATTAACACCTCTGAAAATAAACTCTTGCTCTTCTTTTTCACACACACCCCCACCCTGAACCCGCTCCTCCCACACACTTCTTATTTTAAAAGCTGGCAATCCAACATTCAGAGTTTGTAAATCCAAAATCTCAGTCACTCCTTTCTTTTATAATACCCTACCTCCAATCCTTTAGCAATTTTTGTTAGCTCTGCCTTCAAATTCCATCCAAAGTCCGATAATTTTTTTACCATCTCCACTGCTCGGTCTCTGGCCCAAACCACCATCCTCTGTCACCTGGATCATCAGAGTGACCTTCATTTGCATCCCCTAAAACAGTCCTTGGCACCTCATCAGAGTGACCTTCATTTGCATCCCTTAAAACAGCCCTTGGACCTCATTACTTCTCAAGACAGCAGTCAATGGCTCCTATTACTGTTTAGGTAGACCCTATAGCTTGCACTATTCAACATCCTCCAAAATGTGCTCAGTTTGGTTGAGGCAGAATCTAGAGCTTGCGAAGTTGTACATTCTATTGTCTCCCATTACTCTGCCTTCTGGGCCCCTTCCCGAGGGCCTGTAGGATCCATGTTCTTTCCCAAGCACCCAGTTATCATAGCTGGTTTGCTCATCTCCATTAAGTCTTTGCTTAAATCACCGTATCAGGGAGACTGTCCCTGACTACTCCATTTAAAACTACATCCCTCTTGCCAGGACACACACACACACACTCACACAGACACACATATACACACAAACACTACCCCTGCCCTTCCCTGCCTGAGTTTTCCCCATAGCAGGCATCACTGTCTACCTCACTAAATAATGCACTTGTTCCATGCATCTAACTCTCCTGCTAGAATGTCTGCTCCAAGAGAGTAGGAATTTTTGTTTCTCCGGTTTTCTGGTGTATTCCCAGCACTGAGCACGTGTCTGTCACATGACAGATACTTAGTGAATATTTGCTGAATCAATAATATTGACAAAGATGAAAATTAGAGGTCCCTGGTATTGGCGGAGGTATGGGCAATAGATATTTTCCTATGTTGTTGATCAGGGTGGAAGTTGGATTGACCTCTTGAAAGGGCAATTTGGTAAGATCCATCAAAATTTGAAAGAGACAGCTTACTTATGACCCAGTAACTCAACTGCCAAACATTTATTCAATAGATGACATACATAGGTCGGGGATGTTCAGGACAGCACTATAACCACAGCCACCAAAGGCTGGGAATGAACTTAAATGTTCGTTGTTAGAATTGTTAGGGGGAAAAGGATGTCCTAAAGCTAATTCCACACAGGCTTTGTGGACTCCACCCCCACCCCAGGCCAAAGCCAAAGCCACTGGGAACTCCAAATCCCATCACCACCAAAGGGAAGGTGGCTGGAACCTGAGGGTGGGGTTAAGCAGCCAGGTTGGTATAAAGCCAGACACGTGGTCAAATATGGTCACATAACCATATGTCCGTGGAATACCCAGCTCTTAAAGTGATCCTGGGAGTTACACATGTCCTGATGTGGAGCAGCCTCCATGATACACTGAGGGAAACCAGCCATAATGGAAACCACACAGATATGTATGGGCTATATCACACACATGGAAGGGGACACACACAGGTCTGTGCAAGCATAAATAAATACATAGAGACAGAAATAAATATAACAATTGTTAGGGGGAAAAGGATGTCCTAAAGCTAATTCCATACAGGCTTTGTGGACTCCACCCCCACCCCAGGCCAAAAGCCAAAGACACTGGGAACTCCAAATCCCATCACCACCCAAGGGAAGGTGGCTGGAACCTGAGGGTGGGGTTAAGCAGCCAAGTTGGTATAAAGGCAGCCACGTGGGCTTTGAGGGGCCCCCATTTTGGCTCTCCACCAGCTAGCAGCTAGGCCAGCTCTGAGAGTGACTTTGGGTTTCCAGGTCGGCGGATCGGGTAGGACGCATTAAAGACTTTATTTCCCTATTTTCTCCCTGAGTTGTACATTTTCCTTATTTCCTTTTCCCTTGTAAATAAACCTTTTATTAATCTTTTGTGTGTGTCTGTAGTGGAGTATTAATAAGTCCCTTGTGAGCGCGCGGGTGAGGACCCACAGCCAGGAACCCGTTCAATATCGGGGCTGTCCTATAACACAATAACTCTGGAAAATCGCAAGAAACTAATAATAAAGGTTGCCTTTTCAGAGGAAGTTACTTAAGGACTGGGAAACTTGGAAACGATTTGAAAATTTTTTCATGCATAGAGTACTTAAAAAAAAAATCCCCTTCCATCATGCGTCAAACCATCCTCTTGCTAACTTTTACTCTGTGTAGGGCTGACTTGTTAAAAACACACTCTGAATTCGGCTTTGATGACGTGGGCCTGGGGGCGGGACGGAGGATCTTTTATTTCCTCGGGGAGCGAAGCCAATAAAACGTATGAATAGATGCAGCCTCACCTCGTGCTCTGTGACTCCAGGGCTTGCTCCCTCCCCCCAGCTCGGTCGCGATCGCCGGTCGGAGCCCCAGGATTTTGCCATCTGGCTGGCGTCCCTGCCTTCTCCTTAGAGGGCAGCAGCGGAGCATCTCGGGGACGCATGCGCCCCGATTTGCGCCGGGGGAATTAAAACAGAGGAGAAAAAAGCCCCAGCAGAACGCGCGCCCCAAACCAGCAAGCACAGGAATTGCGCAGCGGCTAGACCCGGGGCCGGGAGGCACCTCCGGCCTCGCCCGCGTCCCCCGCTGCGGCGTGATGCGCACGGACCGGCCCGCGACGCCCGGGCCGCGACTGTCCCCGCACCTGGACGCCCGCCCGCCGGCCGCGGCGGCTTTCTCGGACTCCCCCGGCGCCGGCGGGGTACCTCCCTCTCCATGGGGCTGAGGGGCTGGCTGAGGACCGCGTGCTGCTGCTGCCGGTGCCAGTGCCTGGAGGAGCCCGCCGTGCCGGAGAAGGAGCCTCTGGTCAGGTGAGCGCCCTGGCCCGGGGCTGGGGTACCTGGCCGGAGCCGGCCTGGCAGCGTGCGGACACCTGTGCGTGTGTCAGGGTTGGGGAGGTGGGCTTGCTTTCAGGTCACACTGAAGCGCAAACTAAACACCTTGGGCTCTAACAGGATATTCTGTTGTTGGATTTGTTGCTTGGTTAGGATTTTTGCCAGAAAGCACCTATATACACGGAGGCCCTGGAGACCCAGGTGAATGTCAGTGGAAAGTGCCAAAAATTCGGGTGCAATGCCTGGGCAGGCAAGTGCGGAGAAGGAGTTTGCAGAGGGCTTGGATGAACTATGACAGTGACTCACTGTATATTTATAGGTAAATGTCAGTGAATTGGCAATTGTGTTTCTAGTTCTCCAGAAAGAAGTTGGATCCTTTATCATTCAGTTTTATTACCAAAAGAAGACACTTTTAAAAACTGAGCAAAGGAAATATTTTTCACTTAAAAAAGTGCTTATTTTCTCAAAGGGCAGCCTATTCACTAGGATGTTGATTCATTACAGATTGAGCAGAAAGTGAGAGGAAAATTTACTGTATATTAGCATGGTGCCAAGTGACTGTGTGAAGAAACCATGCCACACAGCTTTATTCATGGCTATGATTTTAAGCAATTATTTTACATCTTGACTCTACTAAAATTAAGGTTCCACTGGGTCATGTCTTGGAGAAAGCTGGGGCAGGAGCAAAATAGTCAAAACGAATTTAGAAACAGTATATGAGGCAGAAATATAGGGTTGGAGAAGCAGCTAGTAAAGCCAGTGTTTCTTATGAAGTATGAGACTGAAGCCATCAAGCTTTCACAAGTTTTAAAAAGCATTATTTACTGTTTTTTACTCTGTCAACTCCAAACATTCCCCTTGACTTTGGAGATCTTACATAACCCCTTCCTGCCTTCGCTCTTATTATTGCACACATCTACACTGCACACTCCTTGATTTAATCAGACAGGCTGCCTCGTTGCTCTAGGAACAATCCAACCTTCTTATTCCCTCATATTTGCCTCAAATAGAGACCTTTTCCCTTCCTCCCCTTCCTAAATGCTGCTTTTGCAGGTTCCCTAGGGCAGCATTCTCTGAGTACTTTGCTTTTATTCTTTTTTAAGGGTCCTGTGACTTAGGATTTAGAGTGTACCCTCCACACCTTGCTGGTTAGTGAGCTCACCTACATGTAAATATATGTCCAGCGTGTTTCATGTATAGAGTCATACACACAATACACAGCATTTTTGTTTGTTCTCACCGATGGCCATCTCCTTTGATTATTAGATTATTGTCAACAGGGAAAGACCCAGGGATCAATGTGGCGCCTTGAAAGGAGTGGGTAACTGGGTTACTATCTTAGATCTCATACCGGCATGGTATTTTCAACTTGCCATGTTCACAGTGACATGAGATATAGGCTTCTGCTTGGTCTTCTCTGCAGAGCCTTGGCTCATCCAATTTTCTATTCAGGATTGTTATTTGAGCGGGTAGTTTTGATTGTTTTAGAAGTCTGTACCCTCTTCTGCCTGGATTTTCACCATTAGTAACTTTTGTGATTTTAAGAAGACAGAGTCAACTGGGGCAGAATTGCATAGTACTCCTGAGTCAGATCACCTAGGGTTAAGTCCCAGCTGGGTAATCTGGCACAAGTTGTGAAACTTATTTGTGCCTCAATTTCCTCATCTGTAAAATGGGAAGATAATTGTATGTGCTTCAAAGGGTTGCAATGAGAAATGAAATGAGATAGTCCACATAAGGTGTCTGACATTCAATAAATTTTAGTTATTAATTATCATTGTTTTTCCTCTGAACATGTGACTGTAAATGGACTGGTCTTTTGTGGGTTAGTGTCATTCTGGCATCACTTCTACACAAGAATATTGGGGAAGAGCCACTTCTTCATGGCTGTGTGCAGTAGTGATAAGTACATGTGTGGGTACCTGCATGTCTTTCCCATCCAAGTCATCAGAAGGTCAAATTTGTAACTCTTTGAATGTGTGTGAGATTTATTTGAATTTTTAAATAAGATTTATTTTTATTTATTTATGCATATAAGAACCAGAGGTATGGGGAGGGGATGAGAGGATTCCCCAGAGACAGAGTAGGGAGCAGAATGGGCAGATCTTCTGAAATATGCTGTTGAGGGGAGCAGCAGGCGAGATAGGAGAGGTCTGCTGCGCCATGTGGGTTAGCTCCCCAGCCAGGGATTGAAAACTCATGCTGCAGTGGCTGGCAACAGGCCCCCTATTTGAGTTTTTAAAGTGTAAAGTTCAGTGATTTTCATTATATTCACAAAGTTGTGCCATCATCAGGGTCATTCTGTCATTTAATCATTACTTTGATGGAATGATGTAGATGCTATTTACCTCCATTTATAAACACTTAAACCTCAGAGAGTTTAAATTTATTCAAAGTCACAAATGGTAAGACAGGAACAAGAATTTGGATCTGTGAGTGTCTGACTTAAAAGTCTGTGCCTTGCTCTGTAGAAAATTTAGAAAACTATCAACTATCTTCAGAAGTCACTTATGATACTGATAGTCTAGACACTGTAGATGTCACTAGCCCAAGCTCCTGCCTCTTCTGGTTTTTCTCCTTCCCTCCCTCCATGTCCTTCAGCAATGTGGAAGCAATCTGGCTCTGTGAACCAAGCCCAGTGGAGACCCGAGTCCTAGTCCCGGCTGTTAAGCGGCTGTGGGATTTTAGGCAAATCTCTTAGCTTCCTTGTATATTAGTTTCTTCTGTACACTAGGAAGATCAAGCTTTAATGCCAGATCGTGAAGGACCTTTCCAGACTTGAAAAAGTCCTGTTTCTAGGTGTTTGTGTCAGCTGAAATCCTGTTTGACATAGAATAAGGTGGCAGCGAGGTGCTTTAGTAGGGGGTGGAGTGAAGGCCCGGATGTGAATCCTTACCATCTGCCCAGATCTGGGACTGCCCAGGCTGCTGCACCAGTGACTGGTTGAATAGTCATGTCTAGTGCAGGAAGCTAAGAACAGGTCTGGGCCTGGAGATGGGACAATGGCCTGATCTTAATACCAGATTTTAGTCCCAAAGAAAGCCAAAGTTTTTGTTCAGTCTCTGATTCATATACTTGCTATATTCTCACCTGAGTCACGTAAGATCCCTCTTCCCAGTCATCTCTGTCAGGTTCTGCGTGCTACTCCTCCGTGTGCTGACCCCATTCCTACAGCAGAGCAGTATTCAACACAAATCAACACAACAGGAAAAACAAGGGCCAGACAACAACGCAGATGGATTGTTCTGGGGTGACTGGTCACTGGCCATCTGTCCATAAAGTGCTGAGGACTTCTGGCTCAAGATTTCATGTTACTAATTTAAAGAAAAGTTTGGGAGACCTATTGCTAGTTTCTTAAGACTACTGAATCAGATGACATTAACTTGGTAGCTTAAACCAATAGAATTGTGTTCCTTCATAGTTCTAGGAGCCGTCTGAAATGGGAGGTTCAGGGAGACTCTAGGGAGACTCATCCCTGACCAATTCCAGCTTCTGGTGACTCCTGAGATGCTTGGACCTTGGCAGGCAGCACAGTGCCAGTCTCTGCCTCATCTCCCCCCATATGTCTCTCCTCTGTTGTGTCTTGAATTGCCTTCTTTTTTCTGGGAACCTGGAAATTATGAGGCTTGAGTGTGATTATGTCTGTGACCCTGACTTGCCAGTTGAAGACACTGAAGCACAGAGCTTCAGTAACTTGTTCAAAGGCACACTTGACAGAGGTGGGATCCAAATCCTGTTATATTTTAATGCCATAGAAATAGCGGAGTCCCCTTCCACCCCTAGAATGTTGGCAGCAGGGGCAGGGTGGGCTGTGAGTAAGTCATTGCTATGAGTGTATACCTGAAATTGTGTTAAAAGTGGATTCACTTTTATGTATTACACCTGGTGAAACCAGGTGCCAGGTGGGCTTAAGACATTTCAAAGAGACTCACCATCAACTCTAGAAGGAAAATCATCTTTTAGATGTGTAGAGTTTCCATTTCACAGTGTGGACTCACAGGACCTCTCAATATATCAGCTCGCCTTCTACCCTTGGAAGGGCTTTAAAAAAAACATTGGCCTATGTGTGCGTGCTAGTGAGCTTGCTCACACTGGCACCCAGACAGCTCCCCAGCCTGGCACCAGTCACCCAGGACTGCTGCAGAACCTGCAGTACAAAAGCCTGCAGTGCTGGGCCAGACAGTGATTGACAGGAAGTGAGTGCAGAGGCACAAAGTTTCCTGAAGGCAGAGAAGGCTCCCAGGGCTTGTGCTACTACCTGCTGAAAGGGGCGGCAAAATGGGAGGCTCCTGCGTGCTGTTCCCAGAACAGGGCTTCAGGCCAATTGAGTAGAAGATAATTGCCTTACCAAGAAGTCAGCCATTCACAGTTCATACAAGGATGACGTTTAAAGGTCGCTTCCTAGGCACCCCAAGCATCACCCCTCCGCCCCCCTCCCCGTGATTTGCACAGTCCTAGTGACTTTGGAAATTCCTTAGAAGGTGAAATACTTTTCTCTTATGCATCATGTGTCTGGATTTCCTGGAACTTTTTATCCTCTAGCGATCTTGAAGTGGTCTTATGATTACACCTTTGTTTGACAAGCAAATTCTGCATCAATGTTGGCCAAAATCATCAATTCTGTCATCAGCAGAGGCTCAGTCTGGTTAATAAATGCTTGGTTTGTGGCCATTATATACCAGGTACACTATTCTTTTGTGCTTTCTTTAGAAGATAATTTTGGTGAGATAACGTGTGTCTAAAGAACTTTGAAACTGTTTGACCGGTGGTAAGAATTTACTGAATTCCTTGACTTTTTTCTTAACTTTTAAAAATTTGTGTCCATATATGTGGTATCAGAGGCTAAAATAAAAAATAAAAAATCTATAGTCTCTGAAGAACAGCTCTAACGTGAATGTTCTTGTATCTGTCTCCCAGGGCAAGAGATAGTTATTCCAGCCCCCGATCCTTACCTTGAATGGAGCTAGACTTCCTGA